ATACAAGTGTGTATTGAACCTAAACCACTGTTCGATACGGGTACATGTATTGTTGCACCATAGTATAACACCAGAATACTGACTGAACAAACTGTAAAATGCGAATGCATTAATATTTCAKTCAAATCAATGCGTATAAGATGTCATTTTTAATAAAGGTATGTGGTGTAGAAGTTTTTAAGATGTCACAATAGTTGCTTGTTTTGTCAAAATATCAAATTCTGTTTACTGTCAGGAAGACAAACATTTAAACCTGGAAAAAGTTTCTAATCCTGAAGGAAAATACAAACCAAAAAATAAATAATCTTTTGTTAGTTTGCTAAACATCTTCATGCTGCTCTGATTTAGTCACTATTTTCTTTAAGTCCAGCGAAGAAAACAGTAAAAACAAAAAAGCAATAAAGTACTCTCAAGTTACTGTATAACCTATTAGAGAAGGAAAGATTCCAGGACACTGAGTAACGGCTCCAGTTCAAAGTGTGACCAAAACAAAACTCAGCACTTGCATTACAACATCTGGAAAATGGTATAGAAAGAGGGATAAAAGGTGGGCATACAAACAAAAAAGTCTAGAAAAAGTTTTTAAAAAATCTGAAAAAAGAAAATAAAAGACAAAAAAGATCAAAGAAAAATAAAAGGAGCCTGAAGGTCAACGAWAGATTTCCTGGTGTAACCATAACAGCCTGTCTTGTAACAGTAGTCAGCTCTTACTACGACTCAGTGGAAACTAAAAGCAATTCAAAWGGAAAATGCCACCACGTCACATCACAATCTACACCAGCAGTAGAGCAAATTGCACGACTGGGACAGAACCATTCCAACAGAACACAGACCAGGCTGGAAAAACAAAATGTTACACTATGAGTACTTTTTACAATAATTATTTGTCTAATAGGTCATCAACAGTGTATGCATTATTCTTTCTATGTCTTTGAACTCACAACGAGTAAAAGCCACCATTAGGGATGGGTACCGAATTCAATACTTTTTGATGTAAAGACCGAATTCTGTCGGTACTACCGAGTATCTATTCACGTAACATCAAACTGTACCATGTTTCGTTACCTAAACGCATCATTGCGACCGGTTTGGCATTAGAGTGGTGAGTTTTCCTTGCTTGTCCTGAACGCAGCATCACGCAAAAGCGTGATGACGTCAGCAGCAGCAGCAGMCGCTGGTTCAGACAGTAAACACAGGCAGAGCTCGGTCTGAACGTAGCTGAAAGCCTCGCAGCTCCTGGAGTAAAACTCGCCGAACAGACCGCCTCTGAATTATCTGGTGGATTAATTATCTTGTGAACACGAYGTTTGCTTGCTCAAAGTAAATAAAGTACAGCCACTTCCTTTATTTAATTTTATTTCATCTGCCATTAAACAGAGACTTTCACTTTAAAGAAATAAGTTACACAACTGATGTTACAATCCAAAGAGTTGGATGCTGTCTTGATATTTGTTAATTTTATATAGAAATATGTTAAATAGAAAAATAATAGTTTATTATTGAAAAAACCACACACACAAAGTACCAAAAATTGGTACCGTTAAGTACTGGTACAGATTCCCAGGTACCGGATATTGGTACTAAATCGATTCAAACGTCAAAAAGGTACCCATCCCTAGCCACCATTGTTGCATCAAAAACAATTTGAACATCTTTATGCAAAAATATAATTCTGCACATGCAATATATATATCATATGGAACATAACTGCWGTTTAATGTTTTGGAAATGGTTGATAGAAAACATTAAAAGCTGTCGTTACTCAGATAAAAAGCTTTGGAAAAACAGGTTCCTAAAAGAAGTGCAWGCTGACAAATCACACAGATAGGAAAATCCTGACAAGCAAATCACCTAGCAGGGCAATGTGTCATGATAATAAATGATTCCCTCAACCCTCCAGCTGCTTTTGGATCAAAATGATCCCGGAGGCTCCCGTTTTTAAAACTGAGGCCTCAGGGGTCATTCAAGGACAGTCGGAGGGTTAAAAAGACACTTATTGTGATGTCATGAAGATTAACGTACCCATTTCAAGATGTCTGGAAAAGAACTGGAGTTAACTTTTTCAAACTGTACTGCTTAATTTGGTTATGATTTCATCATTTGTGTGACACATAAACTATCTAGAATATAAACAAAACTAAAACATTTTCTCATCACATCCTCTTACCTTTTGTTCAGTCCGATGCCTTCTTAAACTCCTTCCTACTAAGACGTCTCTCTGTCTCTTCCATCCACTGTTCTTCCCTCCTTGGGTGCGTTCCTTGGATAACAGAGCATACTTTTACTTGACAATCATGTTCATCTTCAGTCAGATTTACTTTATAAAACTTGCAACAAGGCTAATGTTTCACACTTTTTTTGTAGTTGAGTTGTTCTGATAATTCTGTAGAAAGCAGCAAAGACAGACAAAATGTTCAAGTTAAAATTTTAAATTAAATTTATGAAAAAGTTGAAAACTCAACATTTTTGAAAATGGGAGCATAAAAACGATCACTTAAACAGACGAAACTGAAGTGAATACAACCTTTCACGACACAAAAAAATACATGAATAACACCAGTTRCATTTTATTAGTTACAATAAGCTTTGCAATTTCAGATTTGTTAAGAGTGTTGGACCAYCTAAATGAACACGAAGGAAAGTTAAGTATTTTTGAACATAAACTACAAATTTCCATTAAATTGTTGGAAATATTTGTGGGCTGATCCACTTGCTATCTCAAATTGCATCTTCTAATTAGTGTATTTTAAGGTTGTTGCTTCTCCTTGTGAGTGATAAAGTTTAGCAGCAGTGGATTGAGCRGGTGTGCCATTTAGCCAGCAGGAGAAAGCAGCAGGCTGCAATCTAATCCCATAATGAGATTACCGCCAGTGTTTATCTTAGCTTTACCTACACTTGGAAGGTAAAACACATACATTATCACTACAACAATACATTTTTAATTTATGATAATTTAACATTCATTCAAAGAAATACTTGTAAACTTTTTTAATGTTTGGGAGTTAATTTTTTTTACATAATTTGGAAAATAATTTATTGAAATGCATTAGTGATTAGTGATGCATTTGTGATTAACACATTCAACTAAAAGAAAGACTGCATGACATTAATTTTATTTACTGTTCCTTTAAAATGGTTCTGTAAACAACTGTTACTATGCAAAAATAAGCAGCTTGTTACAAATGCACTGTTCCATTTCATCTGAAACATACTTTAAGCATTTTATTAACCCCTAAAAATAGTTGAATTTATGAATCTGTACAAATACAAACAACACAAACAATGAATCTGACAACTGTCTCTGAACTGTGTTTGTCTTTAAAATATCTTCCCAAATGGCCTATTTGAAGTACACTTTCACTTCCACAGGAACCAATCCATCAATAAGTTGTTTTCATGCACAAAACCCGGTTCTTGAACAAGAGGATGAAATTCAAGAAATTGTAAAAAATTAATGTTAAAGCATCAGATGGTTAAAACCACGAGGCCGTTCTTTAGAAAGAAGCAAACAAGACCACAAATTAAAAGCCACAGAATATAGACGTTTAAATACAGAAGAGGACTTGCGCTCACTCATCCATTTTTTAGCTTTTAATGTGCAAACAGACAAACAAGCATTGTGTTTTCAAAGTCAGGGCTGTGACATTYACTGGAACAGACCTGACTGTAGAAACTGCTTTCCTTTAACACCCTCTATAAACAGTGTTTGTTGTTGTTTAATAGAGAAAATAAGAAGGACTATTACTTTCATTTCACTCACAACCTCAGACACCCCCCCCCCCACCAAAAAAAAGGTAGGGCTAACAAAATACAAAGATGATAAAAAAAAAAAACTTTGACCTAACTCGTTCTCATTATCAGTGGATGTAAGAGGTCATAAAATCATTTTGGATCATTTTTTTAAACTATATGAAATTCTAAGAACGCTATGTTGTTGTTTTAAGTCCCACAGTTACGATTCTGCTGCCACTCATTCGTTCTCTTCATAAACTCCCTCATGGCTGCTGCCAAATACRACAGTGAGTTTATAAAAATAAATCTGACCTTCTGCAGAAAATCTGAAGCTTTTTACTATTTGGGTCTTAAAATCATTCTGTGAAACAAGTGGAGATTATACTGATTATGGAAATATTGTCATCAGACATAGAGCCAAACAGAAGCCAGTAAATCTGAGTTTTACCAATAAACACGCAGCGTAGTTCGCCTGAAAGGCAAAAACCAGAAGGTGGTCGTGTGGCTAATTTGCACATCATTTGCATTAGCATCTTCTCCCAGTCAGAGCACTGAAGTCCCCAGTGCAGAAAAGKCATCACTCAATTAAGAGATGACAAATAACTGTTAATCAGAAACAGCACAGCACTGAATCTTTATGGGGTTGACAACATGTGACTTTTATAGCTTAGCTGTGCTGTRTTTGTTTGGTGCTGTTAAAACGAGGCCAGTTCATTTCAGGTCAAAGTCACCAAAAACATTCTTGATTATTAATGAAAATTGTGATATTTTTGCCTTTTTATGCTTAAGGTGCTTAAGTCTCTGTCAGGTAAAATAGCAAATTACATTAAATTYAGGTAATGCAGGTGAGCCCCTTTTCAAAGCTGTGACATTTTAAGYCATCTGCTGGAAAAGACAGTCTGGTTCTTCTGTCTGCTGTTTGTATTGTTTCAGCCTCTGTTTGTGATTTTACTAACTCCTGACTTTAGTTTGTGCACAACACTGGCAGGGGTAGACATAAGGAWTTTTTTTTTCCTGTTGACAAAACCTGGTTGTCYGCAAAACATTTTGGTTGTCCAAAAGAATCTCAAGAAAAATGTAATTTAACAAGTATATAGTTCTGTAGACTAAGCTTATTATATATAATTGTTCTCAGTCAGCCAGGTTGACAGGATCTGTGTGAATAAAATTTCCTCTTTCTCTTCTTTGAAATAAAGTGCAACATTCATAAGCTGCTTTCTGCTCATAGGTCAAACATTTTCACTTAAATAAGGAGTATAATGTGTACATAACCTTATTAAAAGTTACAGTTTAGAGTTCTGTTCGGTTTTACCAAGTTTTTTCTCCCTTTAATTTTTACAATTACAAAGACCCGTGACAGAGAACTTTAATCAAGGTCTTTTTTGCTTGGGTGTCCACCGGACAACCAGGAGACAGGATCTGGTTGTCCGAAACGAAAATAGGTTGTCTCGGACAACCTAAACAATGGTTATGTCTACCCGACTGGTCTGTAAAAACAGTCCAATGCACTCATCATATGTCCACAAAATTCTTGATTTTTTTTGATAAGTTTGAATTAATATGGATCATATTGATCTGATTAAACCCAAAATGTTTTTTTTTCTTCTTCTTCTTCTGTTGCATCTTGCATAGTAAAAACACATCTGACTGTAAAAATAGTCCTTGTAAGCACCATGCTGCCATGTGGATTACAAAAAACATCAAATCAAAAATTTTAGCTGTTTAAATTAATTGTTTTAGTTAAAATGGCCTATCTTTACCAAAATAAGGAAAAAGGCAGATCGTAACTTTTCTGTATAGGATGACATTTGGTATCAGACTAGGAAAGATAAGTCCTAATTAAAGTTTGTTTTTAAAACCGAAGMACAAGCTCTGCAGAAAACCAAGCTGAACTTTGATCACAGTTTTTGTAAAAGCAGGTTTGTTTCTCAAAACTGACTAAAAACAAACGTTTACACTACTATATTTCAAACTCCAAAGACATTTATGCCAAGTCTCACAGCCAGACAATTTGTTTATGCATTACTGGCTTTGTGTGTAGCTTGCATCCTGTCTGAGCTTGCACAGCTCAACTGCATCAAATTCTTCGTTGWTGTTTTTTTGTGCCTGTATTATTTCGATCTTGTGACCCTCTACAGGTGTGGTTTAATTACTCCAAGGGGCAATAGTCAACGACCTGAGCCCTAATCAATGCAGCACTAACATAGCAAAGCTGCGTTATCTTGGGAGTTTATAGCACTGAACTCTAAACATAATCTCACCTTGGAGTCATTCGTAATCTCTTCAAAACTAAGACATCAGCATAGTTTCGATTGGAAACGAAACAAGATCACAGGTAATGAAAGGGACTAATGTTTGTTGTAGATTCAAGTTGAGCTTTACACACACTGAGTGCCTTCAGAATAGGAATGTTTAATACTGTATTCAAAATGTTTCCTTGAGGAATATAAAAAAATTTGCAAAACACACTCAAAACAAAATCTGTAAACTTTAGGTCAAAGCTCCTTTAAGCTTGTAAACCAAACAAAACAAAAGAACACCTCATAAAATATATATTGTATTAAAAAGAAATCACTACTGTGACACCACACAGGCTGGAACCACAATTTTAAATTCACATGCACTAAAAACTCCAAGCATCATTTTAGTTTTTAGATACAATTAGTGAACAAACACTGAGCACAGACAGAAGATTCATGAATAACTTTAAGCTTCTGAAACAACCAACAAACCGATGGCCCCTATGAATGTAACAAAATCCCACATATCTATTGTGTGCCTGCATGTGGACCGACTGTATGAGCACAATGAGCTGCACAAACACCACACACACACACACACACACACACACACACACACACACACAC